GGGCCCTAGAGGGGGCCTTTACTGAGGTCTTGCATCCAAACTGCCAGTGTCTGTCCAAGACTGAGGACCCCAGGAATACAAAGTGAATCCATGTATGGGGACGTAAACACATGTTAGTCACGTGACAAGCTTACCGCTGACGCCACCTGCTGGCACCCTGAGAGACTGGCGCGTGACCCGCCCCCTTCCCCCGGACATCCCCTCTGGCAGCATGCAGAACATGATTCTGATGCCGGCGTTCCTGAAGCATGAGGACGAGGCCGAGAGCGAGATCGCCGTACAGGAGCAGGAGAAGATCATCGACATCACGTACGAGCTGGCCGCCGAGGCCTCCAAGCTCAGCAAGCTGACGCCAGGTGAGGGGGCGGGGCTGGGGGCGGGGTTTGCGGCAGCCCTGGACCAAACCATCTGCTGGTTCCATGGGGGAGCTGTTTGAAATAGAGGTGGACTTGTAGAGGATTTTTCATACTTGTGCTGTCACTTATTGCTCTGCTAATGATTCATTCATTTTTATTCCCAAACTGTTTGTTTGCGCTGCAAAGCAAGGCCATATGCTAAAAATGTCCTGATGAAAAATTTTTTTTTTTAACTAGAGTTCATTTTAATCCTTTAATTCCATCTCCGCTCTGAAATAAATCTGCTCCTCACCCTCCGAGCAGCCAAATACCTGAGGGTGTAGACATTTCTCCACATGTGGGTGATGTGTGTGCGAGGTAAACGCAGCCAGGTTGAACGGACGGTCAGCCAGAAGCTGCAAACGCTGCTGCGGAGATCCGGAGAGCAGCCAAGCACAGCTGCTGCTGGGGGCCCTTTTGATCAGGGTGTCAGAAGGATCTGGCAAGATCTCACTGGCTTCTTCCTCCTCCTCCATATAGATGCAGACCGGGGTGGGGGGGACTGCGACAGATACACCCCCCCTGCCCTGGTGTGTCCCCTGGTTCAGTCCAGTCTCCCCCATCCTGCTGTTGGTCTGACCCATTTTATTGACCGCATGTGTGTGTTCTGGGCTGTCGTTTGCAGTGTCCCCCCCCGCTCCATCCTCACAGCCGCCGATGGCCGATGGATCGCACTTCATGTGTGTTTAGAGGCAACAGTAAGAAGCTCTCTTAACCTTTTCTCTTATCGTTCCTGTCCTTTCTACCTCCTCCCCCCCCCCCCAAGGCTGGTCTCAGGTGTCTGACCTTGTGTGCCATCATTGAAAGGGTCCTTCAAAACTGACATCACAGAAGCTGTTAGTGGACCAAGGTCATACGGGGAAAAACTCTCTGTGCCGTTAAAAGGACCGTGAATCATACTCTGAAATTACAGGAATGACACACAATATACAATATGAATTTGTGAATTTCCCCTGGGGACCATTGTATGTCCATCCATCTATCAATATGTCTGTATCAAGTATGTCTGTCTGTCTATTCGTCTATCTATGTATGTCTGTCTATAGATCTATCTATAGAGGTGTACGAGATGCTTGTTGGATTAATGTATCCTAGATTACTGAATCCTAAATCTCTGTAGGATCATGGGTCTGACAGCAGGCTTTAATCTGACCGCTGGTTCCCCCACAGAAATGCACCATCCCCATCCAGCGGTGTCCCTTACCTTGACCCTCACGTATTCCCTGTCGCCCCTCTAGCGCCATCCTGCCCCAGAGCCAGGCCCGGTCTCCAGAGACGTACGCCTTCCTCTCCGCCGCCGTCTCCCCGCCTGCCCCTCGTGCCCGCCGCCCAGCCGGTGCTATCTGTGGAGACCTACATGTGATGGACTGCAGTGCCTATGCCGGGCCACCAGGGGGAGCTGCTGGTGGGCCGTGAGCGCTGGCCGGTGCTGGCCGTGAGCGTCCAGGCTTCAGCGTCACCCCATACGCGCCTCTCAGCCCTCGTCGCTGTGAGAAAGCCCGAAAGAGTTGAGGCCGTTTGCCATTGCTTCTTCTTTTTTCTTCATTTTGAATCGCTCAAAAAGCTGGATTTGGGGTTGAGCTCATCCACATGCTGTACGGAGCGATACTTCACGGAGATGTCCTGGTGACACTGTGTTTGTCCCACACATTCTAAAAGGATGCCAAATTTACTTTAAGTGTTAAAGAGGAAATGTTTGTTTTTGCTATGTTATTGTTTTTTTATTTTCTTTTACTTTCTTCATTTTACATGTCTTTTAATTAATTTCTCCTTTTTAAAAAACGGTGTAAATATCCTTTTTAAGAATATTTGTAAAATACGTTCATCTGTGAGACTGCGGTAGGACACGGAGTCGTGGTTCGTTTACGGATGACCAAGGTAGCGCGTTACGGCGGCGACGTTAGCAGGCTCTTCCGCCCCCTGTCGGCGACAGATTGTTACGGCATAACATCCGCCGCGTTTTTTTTTGCCAATAAAAGATGTTTTACTGAAGAGATCTCAGAAGGTTGGTTCTGTGAAGAGGGTGGTTTGGAGACCCTTTTAATGGAGTAAGCCTATAGCACATGTTAAAAAAAAAAAAAGCAATAAGCGAGTTTTGTTAAGCCGAAACTGTGTTTTGTGTACAGAATGTAATTAGAGCGGTCTCTGTGTATATATACTGTATACCGTACAATGACCAGAGCTTATGTAACTATAAAATGCTAATTATTAGAATTATTATGCAAAATGTTAATATCCCATCTGTTTTATAACACGTTAATAAATGTTAATGTTCTTAGCCGGTGCTGTTGTAGTCTGTGGCTAAAAAAATACGTCGTCTTCATTTGGAGGTGTTTCGTCCCAGAAAATGTGAGATTTGCCGCTCACGAACGCAGCCCTGCTTGTCCCCAATAACGCACGTCGCTTTCCTGGGGTATTTCAAGCACGCAATAAATAAAAACGGGCAGGGTGAAGGGCGGGGGCTGCTATTTTTACTTGCCGTTTATTGTCAGTGTCCTTATTTTAGCGTAAGAGACAGGAAGCGTTCGTACGTACACTGTATGCAGGTCACTGCGCAATTACAGCCATTTCAGGCATCACCGGATTCAGCTGGGTACCGCTTCGGCTCACACTCATGCAATACCTCGGACAAACTTAGCGAGGCGTTGTTGCCCACTCAGACGAGGATTTGGTCTAAATAAAAACGTTTTATATACTCATTGTCCTACACTGGGTCAACTGTAAATTGAAGCAGGCTACATGTTATATTAGTTACTGAAATATATAACAATTATCACTTAACAGTAATATCTATTAGAATTGGTCAGGATGTTAAAACAACTAGCTAATAGATCGGATAGAATAACCGTTTTCGGCAAATACTGTACAAAAAGAGTGATGAGCATAAAACAAACTAAATAATATACAAGATCGACAGATAATATGCCAGGTCTTAAATTCCTTCTTGTTTTCTACGTAACCGTGCCGGAAATTGATCTCAGATGGAAACTAGCTGTTAAAATTGGGTAGGCCGGGCTTGTCTCAACCGAAAACTGAAATTACTTACAAAAAACATGTTCATAGATTTGAAACCTTAGAAACAAAAGGGGCAATTAAACTGTGATTCACGATGCCATTAAACCAGGGGTGGGCAATCTTATCCGCAAAGGGCCAGTGTGTAGCAGGTTTTCGTTGCAACTCCCTAATTAGGTCGCTAATTAGAGGACTGAAAGGCTGAAGAGTCCTCACACCTGGGTTTGAACAGATGACCTACAGGTTATCCCAAAAACCCGCATACACACCAGCCCTTTGTGGATAAGATTGCCCACCCCTGCATTAAACGGTTACAACATGTTGATAATTTTTTTGAATAGGCCCTGCCTTGCGCCCGTAGCCTCTGGGATATACTCCGGGCCCCCGGTGACCCTGAATAGGATAAGCGGGTACAGAAGATGAATAGATGGATGGCTGGATGGATTTTTAAATAGGCTGTACTGTATTGAAGTTTCTGCTTGCACGTTTCGCAACTACCCAGTTTAAATGGGAATGGCACCCTCTGGCGGTGAATTATTCAACACAGCTATACCATAGTCAGACACATACACAGATTTCAACATTTCAAAACACTAATTAAAAACACGAATTCCTACTATTCAAACGAGTTATGGTAATACTGATGAGTAATCTGTCTAAATATCCCGCAGTTCTCATTTTACAAACAGTTTGTATGCAGCATACATTCCTGTTTTACTTACCCTCTGCCTGGTCTTGGATTAATATTTGAATATTAATGTTATATTTACATTAGAATTTATTTACCAAGTAGATTTATGACAGATATATGTTTATTATATTCAAATACGCAATTGCTTTTCCCTGCACACATTTTTTAAATGCATATTTAAATACTTGGCCTATCATCCCTAATAATTCATTAGTTCATTGCCTTTGGATAATTAAATAAATTACTCGGTTACTAATCTATAACTTTGTCCTCTTATTGCAAATTATAAAAAAACGTTATCCTTTTCCTTAGTGGGAACTTGTGATAGTTAAAAAGTGCAACGTGTTTGTGTAACTATTAACCCCACGGTGCTCAAGGTCCGAGCCCTGCTGATTTCCCAGCCTTCCTTTACCTCTGAGCCAGCTGTGAAGCCTCTGGTCAATCAGAATCAGTGATTATTAAACGTACTGCCTGGGAGAAGTGAAAACACTGCCTGGATTTGGAACCGAGGACCAGATTTGAACAGCCTTAATTTACGCCTTAATGCACTGACACTGAAATAAGAAGTCAGTAGTTTCAAGCAAACTGGCAGGAAACTGTCGGAGAAGCAAGATTTCCGTGGCCTTCAGTGGACAGAGGTTTGAATAACTTACGAAAGCAAATAGTGAGCGAATGCATATTTAAACGGCAGTGCTGTGTTGAACAGGAAAGGTCTTTTTGGGATAGTTCTGTTTTATAATCTATGCAATTTTTAGAAAGCGGCTGATTGCCAGTTGAAACTGGCTGTTACCTGCAAGTCCACCGTGGGTTATGTTGCAGAAACTTGCATCTTGCCTTAACTCATACTAGGGGAAACACTCAGGGCTGTTTTCTCTCATCGTTAGGCTGTTAAATTTATTTGTCTAAAGAGATGACTGATTTTGGCACACATCTGCAACCCCCCTCCCCCCCTCAAACAGCTCCGTTTCTGTGCCTTTCATTATTCAAATAATTTGGAACGGAAAGCAGTCCAGTTGTCTTGTGACTTGTTAATATTACAAAATGCCCACAAGCGGGTCTATTTCAGGCTGCAAAACGGTCACCAGCTGCACAATGGAAATATTTTAACATCGTAGGGCTCCGGAGATGGTGTCGTCTGATCGGGGCTTATGTGTATTTTTCTGTAAGTAGATTATCTTAATTTGTTTGGCGAGTTAATGTTGCTAATATTTGACTGTTTGTTTATAACACCGTCGCGTTGTCATTATTTTTTGTCATTATATTTAGGCTACGTCATAAACTATGATAAGAGTGAAGCACGTCTTCTCGATAGATGCACCTCGAACTCCTGCAAGCTTGTGAAGATCCGCAGATCCAGAGCAAACGAGAATGATCTGACAGGGGCTGATGGGATAATACTCCAACATTTAATCTTCTAACAAAGTACTGATTTTGGCAAAAATTGAAACTAAATAAGTCAGATGGAAACCTGAGGTTTTTTTTTTTTATTTTTAAAAAACAAAAACAAAATATAAACGTCTCTTAACTATTTACTCTGTTCATTTAACGGACTTCAGTGGTTTTCTGTGTGTCTGGTGCCAGTTAAGTTTCGTTTTAATGCTCAGCTCGTAGGTCCCTCACGTTACACCTGCTTGATCATTTGTTGAGCGCGTTAAGCTTATTCTGTGTGCTTGGCAGGGGTATTATCATGCTAATTAGGCGAGTTTTTTTTTTTTAAGTTTAAAAACTTGGGTAAAACCCTGTATGCAGGATTAAACTAAGAGACGAAAGTTGTTCCCCTACTCTCTCATAGCTTTCAAATTTGTTCTCTGGCGATAATGTGCTCGCCTCCTAAATTAGAGTACAATATGCAGTCTGTATATTTATAAAGTGATTTTCGGAGAGGGTTTAATACCCGCCCCGGTCCTGATCTGCCCGGCGCCCACAATGAGGGGCCCTGACGTCACTCTGTCTCCTCCCTGCTCCACCTCCAGCAGCGGAGCGCTTGTCTGCGGCGTGTGTGTTTGGTGGGTCTTTCACGCTTAGTTCCGTGGGGCTAGAAGGCATCCAGGAGAAACATGGCTGCCTGTACCATCGACAAGCCCGAACCGGGATCCGCACCATCTAGCAACCAGAGAGGCGCCTGGATTTGCGATAAGTCTGAGAGGACCGGAGGCCTGGAAGCTCCGAAGCGGCAACCCGGTGGTGACAGCGAAGCGATACAAAGGGACCGTGCGGAGGAAGAGAGCGTCAAACTTCTGGCCGTCCCAGACTCATCTGGGGCAGGAGACGGAGACGGAGACGGCGAGCGAACGGATCGCGATCCGGAGCGTCCGCGGCAAAGCAGGAATGCGGGGATCTCGGCCATCTGCACCGGCGATGGGGCGGAGAAGGAGGAACAAAGGAAGGAGGAGGAGGAGGAGGAATGCTCGCTCGGAGGCGGTGATGCCGCGGAGAAGCGCAGCGTGACGGGGAGCCGGCATGACAACACAGCCGCCGGGGCTGAAGTGTCATCATCCCCACCATCATCCGGAGGGGATCCCCCAACCCGCAGGGGCTCCGAGGACAGGCGAGTGGGCAAAGTCCATGGGAGAAGCGGAAGTACCGGGGTCTAGGGTTTCATGCTCTTGAGCTTGATTTACATTGCATGCCCCTTCGGAGTTTAACTTGCGTTAAGACACTATTTCACAGTCGCCACTTAACTAGGGGCTTGCGTGGCTAATCATGATCCATTTAACATCTCTCGGAGTTTTCTGGTCGAAAGATACTCCTGACCAGCAGAGGAACTATATTAAAACACCAAGTTTTGTCCCCGTCCAGGCTTATTCGATATAGTTAAAGTTTTTCTGCATTAAAAAAAAAAAAAACAGGAAGGTCCACTTGGCTTCGGCTACTCAGTCCTGTTTTTATTGATTTTATGAGCTGGAATAAGGTGGAAGACGGAGTCCAATTGGGGTTAAGCGCTTCCATGTGTGATGTTTGGGGATAAATATCGCAGATGTCCGGCGGGTGAACCGCCTTTGCGGGTTTCCCTGTACGGTCAAAGCGGCGGAAACGGCACATCTGCTTTTGTGCGGCTGCCCTTTGATATTAACATTCGTTTACCGGTATAAAGTCCCCGGTGGGTCGCAAGTCAAAGGGAAATGATAATGGAAGCGCACATGAAAACCCCAGTTCAGTTTAAGTAATCTCAGTCAAAGGGCAGACTTATCTTTGGGGATTTTAAAACGGTGTCGGATGGAATTTGCTGTGTCCGCGATGCTGCTGGAAGGGTTGTGCCGGATCGTGGTGTCCTGATCGTAACATACCTGAAAATGCCTCGTAGATCGAGAGAAATATCGATGCAGCCAGAAGCCGAATAGGAGGAGGGGCAATGTCGAGTGGGAGGAGCAATGTGGGAGGGGCTTATAACTGGTATCATCTGATACCCTAAGCCTCGTAATAAGCCATTCCCACTCGACGCTCGGATCCCGGCTGCAGAGAGATGTACTTGTGTACATCTTGGAGCATTTTTAAGGAATCGTCCAAGTCTATCGACATGGCGAAGGCCATGGTTTCTAAGATGGCTACTTCGGCTTTAATACTCTTCTGTAATGAATAATATTAACACCCAGGCAGATTCCCAGCTGATGAAATGGTGAAATTGTGGCGCTGTGTGCATTCAGAGACCATATTACACCGGAATGAGGAAACACCCTGTGCCAATACAAGTATGCCTGTGAGACAAGATTTAACTTTCCTTAAGAAATTTACATTATGGCAGTGATTTATTGGATGCTGGCTGGCACTGTGAGGAACTGCCGAGCAGGTCCGGCCCCCTGCTGGTTGGATTGTGTTATAACATCTCCCCATTCCTCTCTGGCCTGAAGGGTGAGTGTGGTAACTGGGGCCTAACACTTGCTAGTGCACAGACCTGTTGTCCTGGGAGATGGTTCTCCTTAATCTCCACTCATCAGCACTGGGAGCTTGCGTCACCTGTGGTGTTCCTTTGCATTAACTGTCCCGCTCGAAGAGTTGGTCCGTGAGGCGTCACAATAGCGTAATGCAGTGCGACGTCACTTTCTGGGGGCAGGAGGAATGCCTTAAGAGGGGAGGGGCTGGTCTGTCCACGCGTGTGGATTCTCTGTGATGCCCATTGGTCTGATGGAAGGGCAACTTAGGCCAAGTTCCAGAGCCTTATTGCTGTAACTGCTACTGGCCTTGGTTTTGTCACCAAGGAGAGGCTTGTAGCATGAGAGGGTGCATAGCAATGTGATTGGTCCAGGAGTCTGCATGGAATGGTGCGTTCTGGGAGTTTTAATCATTGCTGTGTTAGCTGCAAGGCATGTGAATCGGGGTATTTAGAGAGAAGCTAGAGTTACTTTGGAAGGTTGTGGGGGAGTTACTGCCGCCATTCCTTCCCTAGCGTACCTCCCAAGCTCAGCTCCAGGCTCATCCCGGGAACTTGAACCAACAAGCTTCCATTTTTTTCTGAAAAATTCCCATACCTGCAGTCCTGTGGTGTGAGTGCAGAGCCAGTGCCCATGATCAGGAGGCACGGAATGTGTGCTTAAGTCCCCACTGGCCCAATCTGTCACGTGACCTTCTTATCAGCTTTGGAGCTGCATCAGTGGGATTGTCCATAAATGTACAATATATAGCATCTTTCACCTTGGATCCTGGACAGAAAGCCCTGCAAAGACCTCAAATTATGCATTGTTAATTTCTGTGAACCACACACACACACACAGACACACGCGCACACACACACTGGGGCCTTAGCAGATGTCAGTTACTCAGCACATGCTGTGTCCATAACAGCACTGGCTCGGGGCGTACCATCTCAGGGGAGGGGGGAGGTGCTGCTAAAACAGGGATGCCCCCGGCCCCTCTCGTGGTGTTCTCTCAGGTACGGGCCAATGGGGATGTGCTATATGATCATGACGATCCGTCACTCTCTGCCTCCTCCCGCTCGCAGCACCCTAATGGAGGTGGAGAGCACGGTGTCCAGTGGTCGCTCCACACCGGCCATGCTGACCGGCATCCTGGGCGGTCCCGGTCCGGCCGCAAACCCCGCCTCCTCGACCAAAGGCCCCGCCTACCCCTGCTGCTGGGACCGCTGCCTGGAGAGCTTCTGCTCCAGCCCCGACCTGGCGGAGCACATCCGGGGCATGCATGCGGACAGCCAGCGCGGCGGGGTGGGTCCACGCCCCCCCCCTTCCCATACCCCTCTCCTCCGCTTCCTGTACCCCTTCACAAACACTCCCTCCCTCATTCTGTTATCTGGGGCTCTGCCTTCTAACTCGTGATGTTCTGGCCCAGCCAGTCTGCATGATGCCTATTTATATGCTTTTGTACCTGATCTCTTATAACCGGGTCGGGCCCAAGTCATAACCACCTAACAGCTTGTTCCTGCTTCACCACTCACAGACATGCGTGTATGTTTGCGACGCGTTTGACATAAACACGATTGTCTGCGGTTGGACTCCTTTTGTGTCTGAGCAGCCGCTAACCATGCTAGTACTCACTGCCGCTAACCATGCTAGTACTCACTGCCGCTAACCATGCTAGTACTCACTGCCGCTAACCATGCTAGTACTCACTGCACGTGTGTGTTTTAAAATAGTGTAATTTTTCCTCCCACTTTGAGCCTATATCTGAGGTTTTCAAAACATTTTGAGAACAATGTTGCTTCATACATTTTAAAGATGTAAAATAATGACATGGTCCTTTATGAAAGATGCGGAAAAAGAGGTCTTGCTTTCAAATATTTGGATTTTTTTCCTCATGATAAGTATATTAATTTAATCACAATGGGAAGGAAGATTACAATTGATAACTAAGTTCATGAACATTTTGCTTGGCAGAAGGGATGTTCATTCACACCCTCTTAACCTGCCTAGTCTTTCCAATATGATTGCAACCCCCGCCCCCCATAAAAGTTGCGCGCCATTGTCCATGTTCACCCCCCAGATGTACGTGTGCCTGTGGAAAGGATGCAAGGTGTACAACACCCCCTCCAGCAGCCCCAGCTGGCTCCAGAGGCACCTGCTGAGCCACAGCGGGGACAAGCCCTTCAAGGTGAGCCGGGGGGGGGGGGGGTCCGTTGGAGGCCAGAGACTGATTGCATCCCATGGACTTCACCCGGAACTGGGGGGGGGGGGGGGGTCTTCGTGGTCCTGGGGCGTTTTTCTTCAAGCTTGGCTCTTAAATGTGTGATTAGAATAATCGTTTGGGCAGCAGGAGGTTCAGCTGTCAGTCAGCCGTTAATTAACAGAAATGTTAACGTCCCCAGGGAGGGTCAGAGATGAGCTTTGTCATCCAAACACTGTCGTCCAAATGGATGGTGAAAGTCATCTCGTGTCTGTTTCCTCATTGACACCCCCTTCATTCACGAGATTTAAGGCTGCTCACTCCTCTATCACGAGAGCGTCTGATTGGTGCAGATCCTGCCTACGTGACTGTGGATGAAAAGTCGCCGTGACTTTGCTGCCCGACCACCAGCAGGGCTGCACTTATTAATCAAAGGTTAAAAGGCGTAATCACTATCCTCAGTTGCGTAACCGTGCACTGGCTCCAGTAATGAATTAATCAGCATAATTAAGCATCTGAATTTCAGGGTCTGTTTGCTATTTTAAGGGCAACAAAATGCAATTAAACACAATTATACATAAATAATGTAGCAAAGTCAGGATGATGTGGATTGAGTCTGCATTTCAGCCATGATTAAGATTATAAATGCTTGTGTTGAGTGTTTTGGTGCCGTGCTTAATTCTGTTGACCTTCGACCCCTCTGACCCCCCGCAGTGCGTGGTCGCCGGCTGCAATGCCAGCTTCGCCTCCCAGGGGGGTGTGGCTCGCCACGTCCCCTCCCACTTCAGCCAGCAGAACTCCTCCAAGCTGTCTGGCCAGCCCAGGGCCAAGGAGGAGTCGCCCTCCAAAGCCGGCGTGCGCCGGCGGCGGCTGAGGGCTCGACACCACAGGTCCCTGCGTACGTCTCCACGGTAGCTCCGGGCCTTTCCGTGGTGACCCCCCAACCCCCCTCTGTTAGTAACCCTAAATGTGCTTATGCCATTTCACACACTGTCCCCAAGGAGGCTAAGGGGGGTGTGTTGGGGGGGGGATTACAATGCCTGTCAGTCACTGACCAGTTTAGCCAGTGGGAACCAGTTGATGAGAATGAGGCTCGTCCTCTTGGTGGAGATTGAACAGGAATTTGGCTCTATTTCTCCTGGACCTTGTTTCAGTCTTTTAACAGAAGAGTACATTGCTGTGTGTGTGTGTGTCTCTCTGTCTGTGTGTGTCTGTGTCTGTGTGTGGTGTTTTTGGTGGAAGGGCACCCTTTTTTGGGGGGGGGGGTGATTAACCATGAAGTCACCCTCTTACCGGGTAGCTCTGATGGACTCCTTGCCCCCCCACAGCACGCCCCCATGACTTCTTCGACGCCCAGACTATGGACGCCATTCGGCACAGGGCTATCTGCCTGAACCTGGCCACGCACATCGAGAGCCTGGGCCACGGCCACAGCGTGGTCTTCCACAGCACGGTGGGTTTCTGCTGTCGGCTCGGGGCTGGCCGGGGAACCGGGCCCCCCCCCCCCCCGGTGAGGCGGAAACAAGCAGTAGCTCCTGCTGCTCCTTTCTTGGCCAGCAGGTGGCACCAGAGCAGCATGGTGACCCAGCCATTTACAGCACAGTATCTCAGAAACAACTCCAACCATTAGCAGTCAAATCAGGATAATTATGGGTTCTAATGACAACATGGATGTTTATGCTTACATCTCAGTTTTAAACTGTACTTCCCAAGGAAAGAGAGATTAATTTCTGTATGTTTACAGCCTTGGGTGACAGGTGCTGGGTGCTGCATCTTGGCTGTTCTTCATGTTTCCTGCAATTCGTGCAGCCAATCAAAGCACAATAGTGTTCAGCTGGCATCCCATCCTGCTTGGATGGATGGATGGATGGCAGTTATTTACTGGCAGTGAGGAAGTCGAGGAGTAAAATGTTGTTGACGTCGTCAATTTTTTATTTTTATTTTTTGGATCCAAGGAGTAAAATTTCAACTTGACCCTTTGTGCATCCACTAGAGGGCAGTGTTTTCACTTTGGATTAGACCCAAGTCTTTGCGATTTATTTGTTTGTATAGTTAAAAATCTGTTGTCAGGTAGAACTAATGGGTTGTAAGCATCTGGACTGAAGTGGGCTAAGCAGAACCTGAATGGACTTCTGGTCGGGGGCCTGGCAGCAAATCTTATTCAAAGTATTTATCAAAGTATTAATTTAATGGTGACCTCTACCCGCCATGTGCCTGGGGGGGGGGGGGGTTACCTCTAAAGGGCTCCTACACTACGGCCCTCTGGTAGCGGCCTGTTTTTGGAGTCTCTCCCCCCCCCCTCCCCCCCGCTGGCTGAGTCTTGGTTGGCCACAGTGCAGATATGCTGGGGATGTGGTGCAGACGAAAGCTGATTGGAGCGGAGCTGGAATGTGGTGCTTGGGAGGGGGAA